TACTGGCCCGCGCAACCGAGTGGAGTCCGGGCGCGCGCGTCCAGTGCCCCAGCCACGGTCAGAGCGTGCCGTGTGCGGCCGGGTCCCCACACCACAAGCCCAGGTGCTCTTCTCTGCTCTACCCGCAAGAAGAGTCTCCCTCCTGAGACTCAGGGTAGGGGCATATGTGACCCTTCTGGGGCTCGACCTTCAACAGGCTTGAGGCCTGGTGTCACAGGTTTAATGATGGAATGGCAGGATTCAGCAGACCATAGAAGAAGGTGGCAGTGCTGTCGTACCCTCAGTGACTCCAGCTACCTCGGGATTTCTCTCTGCCAGGGATTGCATGTTCAGACCCTGGCAGAAAGAAAAGGCAGGACCTCCTTTTTCCCTGAGCCAGAACCTGGGTACAGTTGCACAAGTGTGGGGGGCTGAAGATGGCAGGATGCAGCCTCCTGGATTCACTTCCCTGGGCTAAGCAGGTACTATGCAGAGAGGAGCCCCAAACCCCAGTTCCCAGGGCTTGCACAGCTGCTAGTCTGACTCTTCTAGGGCCAATGAGTGTGAGCACAACCCAAACATTCCTAGAGCCCCCTGACTCTTTCTTGCTTCAGGGAAAAGGCTGGGACTGGTTTCACTTCCAACCCTCAGCTTGTGGAGTGGCCTCTCAGAGCCTCAGTTTCCTCCCTGAGAATGCTTGTGTGGGTTCTCAGCCCTATTTCCAGGATGAAGTGATAATGGGATGAATTAGTTGGTAAGCAGAAGCACTTGTAGTTGGGGGATAGTATCCCTGGGATCCTATCAAATTTCCCCCTAGAATATCACTCTGCCTCTGGATAGGATAGGAGAATGCTCCCTGCTGGTCGGTCACAGAGCCCAACTCCTTTAGCATTAGCTACCCAGAAACTGCCTTACATAAAGAGTGAGGGACAGTAACTGCTGGGCAGCTTAGTTCATAGATAAATGCTCAGAAGCCTTCAACTCATGATATCTGGCTGGGTCTCACATCATCCTCTCAAAGGTTATTTCAAGGAGGGTTGCAGTTGAGGAGGGAAGAACAGTGGTCCCTGGCATAAGGAACAAAGAGGTGGTGTTAGAGGCTGGAAATAGGACTCAGGACAACCTTTATTTATTCCCTTGTCCTGGTGTGCTTCCCCCACCCCTACAAATTAGGGCTCCACAAGGGGACAGCTTCCTTCATTTCTTGGAGCTTTCCTCCCTCCTGACCTTGAGTGACACTTCAAGGGTCAGACTAAGGTTTGCCAATAGACCCCAAACCACAAAGCTCCCAAAATATTATCCCAGTAAGACAGTGCAGGGCCAGACACAAATAAAGAGGGGAGGCAATTAAGGGTAAATAGGGAGTAAGAGTTTACACATCCCTGGACCTCAAACACCTACAGTCCTGGGGTCTAGTGGACTATGGGAGATCAAGTCAGGACAGCTCTGCAGGGAGACAAGCAAAACCCTCACTTGAGCCAGAGGTTTGAGTGTACCAAATATGTGCCCCTACCCACGTCCATACAGAGTAGTCCCTCCACTAGGCTGGACATGGTGGGAGGGTCCTATTATGAAGAGTCAATAAGCCTGGGCTAACCAGCCCCCTTGCCAATCCCTCCTGGTGATACCTGTCTCCAGCATCTCTGTCCCCTTACAACTAGGTAGGACTGGCCTGAGGTGTCTCCCGGATTTGTTTGCTGAACAGATAACTTGTGTTCATGGTCCCAGGTGAAGAGCACACAGGGTGTAACTTCTCCTGAGTGCCCTGTGGGGAATGGGCACCTTCCCAAGACAAAGTCTCCAACAGCCTGAGAAATGAGGGGCAGCCTGCCTATCCTTTGACACCAGGATTGTGGTGCTATCCCCAGAGAGTGCCCAGGCCATGAGGCACCTGGAGCCAGTCTGGGTATAACCGTGAACACAGGCAGTTGGGCATTTCAGTTCCAGCCTCTGCAGATGTATACCTAATTGAGGCCGCTGGCTCTGAGGGGAAGGCGGGAGATTTTGGTTGACAGGCCGTTAAAGGAAGACAAATAAGGACGAGAGGTAATTAAGAGTAAATGGGTAGTAAGAGTTTCCACATTCCAACTTTTGAGGCTCACAATATCTTTGGCCTCCTGGTGGCTGATTCCAACAACAGGTTAAGATCTTGGGAGGAGGGGGCTGGGGATGTGGTTCAAGCGGTTAGCGCGCTCACCTGGCATGCATGTGGCCCAGGTTTGATCCTCAGCACCACATACAAATAAAGATGTTGTGTCCGCCAAAAACTAAAAAATAAATATTAAAAAAAAAATTCTCTCTCTCTCTCTCTCTCTCTCTCTTTTGGGAGGAGAGATCCAGCCTTCCCAGGATTAGTACTTCCAGGGCAGACATACTGATGGGCTAGACAGGAAAGGCCTGAGGCTACCTGCTTGGCCCCAGGTGCCTGTACAGGAAGATATGATGTAACAGGGGCAGGTAAAGCTACTGTTAGCAGAAAGGGATCTGGCTTGGCAGGAGGCTATAGGTGCTATTTCTGCATGCAAGCCGAAGAGAGGTCAGCTCAGCATCCATAAGAGATGGAAAGAATTTTATGGGGGAACTTACTGTGAGCCAAGTAGGCCCTGGGCTTGGCCATGACTCTGGAGGGAACAGGAAGCCCATCGGGAATGTCTAGGACTCCTGGGATGGCAAGATTATCACCCCAGCATGCTCTACTTCCAAGCCTCCCCTCCTGTTATCCTTTTGCCCCTCAAGTCAGCAAGCTGGACAGCTCCTTATTCAGTGAAATCTGCCCTGCAGCTTTTTATTATTATTATTATTATTATTATTATTAGTCATTGATGAACCTTTATTTATTTATTTGTATGTGGTGCTGAGAATTGAACCCAGGGCCTCACACATGCCAGACAAGCGCACTATTACTTAGTCACAACCCCAGCCCCTGCCCTGAAGCTTTATTCCTCCAGTTCCTATTGCCTGGAGCACCCTTCCCCATCTCTACCACTTGGACCCAGGATATTCATAAATCCATCAAACCACTTATACCAGGAAGCCTTCCCAGACCAGACTCTCCTCAGCTGGTTAGACTTCCCCACCTCAGTCCCCTCTTTCCTGCCCCTTCCCCAGCCACACACATATACAGTGGCCTCTGCCTTGGGATTAGAAATATACCTCTACTCTGGACTCTTGTCAAACCGAGACCAGAGGCTCCCTAGATCATGTTATGCCCTCTAGGTCCTATACAGGTTTTGGCCATTGAGAGAGAACAAGAAGTATGAACAGAAGGACTAATTTGAGTGTTATGTTAAGGAGAACCCCTGTCCTATATCCAGGAAGGATGTGGTTTGGGCACAAGGTAGGATAACTTTGGCAACAGACATCACATGTTATATAGTAAGCAAGTTACTTTGCCTCTCTGATCCTGTTTCTTTAACCATATAGTGGCATACATGGTCCCCATTTAGCGGGGGGGGGGGGTCTGAAGATCCACTCTTGAAGGTCTTAGCCCTGAGGGTAAGATTTGACACTCAGTAAGGGCTTAGGGAAGGAGAAATTCAAACATTCCCAGGAAAGGCAGGCCCTGTGTGCAAGCAAGCAGAAAGACTTCCTGGAAGAGAGAGAGGGATTCCAGCTCAATTTTGCAAGATGAGCAAGGTAGGTGGACATGTTAAGGAGGAGAGAAAGGAGACACTGGAGGCTAAATATGACCCTACCCTTGTAAGTCTCATTGATCCATCTGTACCCAGGTCATTTGAGCAGATTTCAGCCTTAAAAAGTAGGAGAGCATCCCTATCTCAACTAACTCATTTCTTTTTTCTCTCCGCCCCCCAGTACTGGGGATTAAGCTCAAACATGCTTTATGACTGAGTTATAGCCCCAGCCCTTTTTTATTTATTCTGAGACAGGGTCTCATTAAATTTCCTAGGCTAGCCTTGAACTTGTGATCCTCCAGCCTCAGTCTCCCCAAATAGTTGGGATTTTTAAGAATGAGCCACCTGCCTGGCTTCATCCAGCCCATTTCAACACACCTATTCCTTTGGGGCTGGACTCAGTAGTCCCCAAGGGCCCTCATCTGGGACACATTATATATGGGCATACCACTAGCACATGCCAGTAGCTGCTGTGGCTTCTCCACCACTTCTTTGGAAATACATAGAAATTATATGCTCCCCCAAATGCCCTGCTTGAGCATGGTGCACACACACTATTACCTCCAGATACAACCAGAAGAGGATCTCACCTCTGAATGTACAAAGAATACTTCAGGCAGGCATGGTGGCACATATCTATGGTCCCAGTTAGCTGAGTTGGGAGGATCACTTGAGCCCATAACTTCAAGACCAGCCTGGACACCATACTGAAAACATATGAACATAGTAAAAAAATAAAAATAAAAATAT